TTGTCCGATGTTTCATTGGAAAAAAAAAGTTTTGCGTTGCTATTGTTCGGTATTTCAATATCTATCTGGAAGGTCACTCGAATGGATATTATATATGATACTGCTATTTATAATATGTTTACGGAAAGTCTAGTATTCAAATAATGTGTACCATTTTGAACTGTTCTAACATAAATCTTAGATAGATATATTATGTTTATGTAATTTGTTTCTGCAACCATACACCTAAATATGGTGGCAAAACTGGGTACCAGAGTAACGGACATAGCCCAACGGATTAGTAAGCTGAAGTGGCAATGGCCCCGCCATATAGTTCGAAGAACCTACAACCGATGGAGAGGAAAGTTTCTCGAGTGGCAGCCTCGTACCGGTAGGCGAAATGTAGAGCGACCCCCCACTAGATGGAATGACATGGTTAGACTTGCAGGAAGTCAATGGATGCAGGTAGCTCGTGACCGTGCTTTGTGGCATTCCTTGGGGGAGGCCTATGTTCAGCAGTGGACTTGTGAAGGGCTGTAATGATGATGATGATGATGATATGTAAGATCTAAAAGTGTGTAACAAAACCTTACGTATTTTGTTTTATGTGTTGTATAATGTAGGTACTTATAGTTTCGTTTCGTTGTACATATTGCTTTGTTTTTAGAATTGATATGATGAAAGCAAACATTCTACTTATTTTTGGCTTTCACAACTATGCCTGAATCACAGTTGCGAAAATATTTAAATGACTAATGTCTATTTATAATTTATATTTTTATTTACTTAGAGAATTAAAGCATATAGGTCAATTTCGAAATTTGAGGTATTCACTTTTTGGAGGCTACGGTAACGAACACGGCATGCGTTATAATATAGTACTACGGATGGCATCTTTCGTTAGAAAAATATTATCTCGTTAGCTTAGTTACTGTTCTGGCGCTGAAAGCAGGGAGTTGTATTTTTCAGCGTAAGGTTATTATCTCTTTGAGTAGAGGCGTCGTCTCGACGCTCGCGTGCAACTAGTCACTGTCATACCGTTGAGTATTTTCACGTTGCCAAACAACATCCATTGCTGACAGAATGTGACCTACTTTACTGAATTTATTAAAATTATATAAAGCAAAATACCTATCATTGGCTAGCACAAAATGTAAACTTATATCAGATTTTGTGTCATAAGAAACAATTTAATTAGAAGTGTCTTTTGTGAGTTATATTATTAAATCGTCCTAATTGACAAACAAAATTAATATATTTTTTATACTTTTCATTTTCATTACTTTGTAATTATGAATAAATACTTCGTTATTTAACCAGGAATTATTTATACGGTGAAATAGCAAATATTAAAAATATGTTTTGTTTTCGGTTCGTAGGTCCTCAATAGTGTTTTTTTTTTCATAGGTTTCCACACGATGTTATCCTTCATCGTGTAGCACATAGTAAATTAACATTTAAATTGCCAATTAAGTATTGCCGACAGAGATCGAATTTGGTATGCTCGCGTACTACTATTAACCTTTGAGTTACAGCGTCCATAAAATTATTACTTCTTTATAAGTTTTGCAATTTTTAAAATTTTATTATCAGTTCAGAATCGTAAAAGCCTAAGTTATACTACGTAGTACTATTATATATTCTGTGGTTAAGCACAGTTAGACTTACGTCGCGCTTTTCGCGATTACCGATTAGGTACTTCTTATTAAAATACTTTGTGCCTTTAGTTCGTTCAAATTTAAACATTTTGTTAAATTCTGTGATTCATTTTGCATCTGCATAATATATTGCGAATAAATATATTTAATAATCGACAACTAAAAGCTACACTTAATAAATATTTGGTGGATAAAAGTATGGTTTAACTAACAAATATTGATTTGGTTTGTTCATATTGTTTTTCTTCCGGCATACCTACCTACATAATATTTATATTCTGAGGGTTTTAAGGCGAGGAAGCGTCCACCGCGCTGCCAATGCATCAATGCGTGGCGGCGGACTCACATGTCTTCCAAATATATGTATTTTATTTTATTTTATTTCACACACATGTAGATTTCCTCACAATGTTTTCCTTCACCGCTGAACTCGTGGTAAATCAGCACTTAAAATTATAACTAACAATTTCATTAATGCCGGCGGGGATCGAACACAAGTTACTAATAGCACAGAATAAATAATAGTACAACTCATAGTGTGAAATTTACAGCGCGCCCTCAGCCCCTGAGCTACCTCGACTTAACCCTCTCCAAAATGAGAGAAGGAAGAGGCCTACGCCCACGTTATATGCGTGGGACGCCTATAGGCTATAACTGCAGAATATATAAGAAAATTAATTAAAATGCATATTATTATAAAAAGAGGCATACTTATTTATGAGTGATTTAGAAAATAATATTGTTATTTATTTTCCTCTCATTTTGTTATGAAACCGGAGAACCTACTGTACGGCGATTCCTACGTCTGAAATTTGTGGTCGTTTGACTACGCCTACGTATAGTTTTTAGCAATACTCGTATATTAAAAACCAAGTCAGTGTGGTCGTGGTTACTGTTTTGAACAACATATCAAACGTGTGTAAACTCGCCAAATAGTCGGCATGCTTTTTGTATTCACTGTACGGAGTATTTTTAAAGTGTTTGCGGTGATTTCGCGTCGTTTTACGCAGAATGACGAGCAATAATCGTGTGCTGCCAACGAAATCTCATGACATTGTATTGCCAATACCGTATGATATGGCACAATTATGTCCTCGCGACTAGACATTTTTTTCTAGTTTCGTCATCACTTGGAAAGACGATAAGCGAAGGTTTTTTTGTCTTTAAAGGTTTTATTATTCTATAACAATGATGTTCATGAGTAATGTAAAAGATTTTTATGACTAATATATGGTATGTTTTATACAACTAATGTCTTTAGTAAATGAAATAATTAAAAATATGATGTGTAATTAGTATGGTTATATATTATATTCAGTAATAAGTATTACTTATGAGAAAGTTAAGTTTTCTGCGATTTGAAAGTAACTGGGTTTAGAAACTTTAACAGTCTTACATAATGCCTCAGCAAACGACCTCTGGAGTGAGGGCGGCATGGCCAAGGGCGACTGAATCGATCCGATCTGCGTCAACCTCACCCCTTCCCCGGACCAAGCGCTCCCGCGCAACGACCTCCCCCCACTTTGTTGAGTAGACACAGCTATCAGCTGGAAATAATCTACAGAAGTTATATATGTTGAAATATAAATGCTAAACACTGATTAATTAAGCACATTGGTAAGTAAGTATAAACGAGCTTAGTAGCAAGTCATGACTACGTTTTGACCTTCGCATTGTTTTCCCAGTAAACATCTACCACATTATAAACGAATGCCAAACATGCTGTTTTGTTTCATAAGTGAATCATATTTGCTTGAAATATTGACCACCACGAGATCAATTGAATGAATTAATTGCGAAATAATCCAGAGTAGATAAACTAGTTTTTATAATGACCTTAATGCATTTTGTCTCGGTATAATAATTGTCCTATGTTGTAATTTTGTTTGAGTAATGGTCTAATGGTTCATTATAACGTGCAGCAAGGCCGGTGTCGCCTGTTGCTCGCCATTTACCGTTACGGTCTGTTACAGTCCATTGCTGAGCATAGGCCTCCGCCATAGATTGCCTCATACGGATATATTTGCCATAGTTGTAACGCTTGGATTGGCAATCGCAGTTTTTTTTTATTTTCAGTCGTTATAAGGAAGACGCTGCTGTCCATCTCCTGTTTTGTTTCCCTCTGTCCCCTATTACGACACCCACGGAATGATATGAGGTAGTAGATATTCTCACACCGCCACTACACGGTAACATTGCCACTACACGGCTAGCCATTTAAATCGCTTCATTCAAGAGGGTAATTAATGTCAGCTTTATCGTAAGACTCGTTTACTGAAAACGAGGCATTCAATCTTAGTCCTCACAGGTCACAAACGCATCTGCATTTTGATTCGTAATTGAGGATAGATATAGATGTCTATGAGTCACAGCAACCACTTACCATCAGATGGACTGTGTGCTCGTTTGTCACCCTTATCCAATAAAAAAGGTCTATTATATGAGATCGAGAGAAGAGACAATTTTAGTACTCGGGTGCTCTAAGAGTTAATAAAAAAAACAGCTTTTTCATGCAAGCACTCGCGATTTGTGAAGCATTGCCGATGAATGGGAATCGCGTGGCGCCCGGCCGTCACTCCTATCATCTATTAATAGAAACATCTGATTCGCGCGCGGAAACGCTTTTACTTCGTGGCCCGTTAATGTTTTGCTTCGTAATACGTATATCGCATGGCTGTGATGCATAACAAATATTATAGTGAGAAACGGGAAACAACAGTGCTACAAACATGGACTATTCATATACATATATTCATGAAGTAAAGTCTAGTTACGTCCCACCACTGGGCACAGACCTACTCTAATTTTTGAGGTCAATTAGGACTTTAGGGCAAAAATCGTCCATCGCGCAGCCTCAATGCGTATAGGCGGACTTTACATGCCTTCGAAATATTTTATATAATTTATCACACAGGTGCAATGCAGATTTTCTCACGATGTCTCCTTCACCGCCGAGCATGTGGTAAATCAGTACTTAAAAATGGTTGAGACCGGTTTTATTGCAATCATGCAGTATATTATGTAAATTATTATAACATTTTCCAATCATTTAATAATGGTATAATATGTCGATGTAATTTGTGAAAGGGAAATATTATAAATACAAAATGCATCTTATGTGATAGCTCTTTATATTATTTTAGGAGTGTTATTGCAAAATATTGTTTTTCTAAGCTTAGAATTAATGTTAATTTATAAAGAGTACTTTACTGTACTTTTAATAAAATAGAATAAAATAACTTTAAAAGAACGAATGACACGAATGGTCATCAAACTTTTAACCTGATATTGCAGTGCATTTTGATGAAATTTCACAAACAACGTTAAAAAGCTAGATAAATAACATTATTCTTTTGTTTTCAGAACCAAAGAAAGATAAATTGGAAAACGGTGGCGAACTGGTGAGGCCGGAACGACCGAACTCTTTAACAGCGGGAAAGATTCCAAGACGAATATGTTATAAAGGAGATGGTAAGCTCTTGTTTTTTTTTACATACTTAAGAGTTTGTGAATTATTTGCCTATACGATCTTTTTGCCCTTTTCCTCTTGTTTGTACGTTTTAAACACCACTGTTCAAATATGTTAAAATGAAATTAGCATCTTATAGTTAACAGTTACTACAGAACTTATAGTTAAAAGTTATATACCTACCACTGATGGGCACTTCACACTGACCTCCTCTCATTTCTGAGAGGGTATTGGCGTGTTGGCGAACTTCGCATGTCTACGAAATATATTTTTTCTTCTCATTTCATAGACATACAGGTTTCCTCGCGATGTTTTCCTTCACTACCGAGCACGTGGTAAATCAGCACTTAAAATTGCAATTAACAATTTCATTGGTGCCGGCGTGAGTTGAACCCGGGTTGCTCGCGTACTGTGACAGCGAGCGCTTGGCCCCTGAGCGACCACGGCTCTAAATTATCATCTTATCTAACGCAAATAGATACTTGGTATTTAATAGATACATGTAAATCTAATTAAATTGTCAGCTCATTACTACCAAGTAATAAGCTTTACCTCGAATTTGGCGGTAAAATGGAACTTACTTCTACCTTCTTGGCTCGTCAAATATGTAGACACAAGGAGTTCCATATCCGCATAACTACAAAAGTAAAGCATTTATAGACAAATTTAAGAAATATACAGAAGTACGGATAAAAATATTGTTAGTTAAATAAAGAGGATTATCGGAAGGCAAATGTATATAAAGCGACGTTTTAAAAAATATCAGCATAGTATTTATTTATTCTTTATTGAACCTTACACAATGTACAGGCGCACTTAATGCTAAAAGCATTCTCTGTTAGTTTTAAAAACTATTACTTTAGAGCTCTTTGTATTACACGATTACAAGTGTCTAGATCAGGGGCTCCCAAAGTTTTAAGGTAATGGAACATTCACCAAATCATTTTATTTTATGGATTTATGGAATCCCACATCAAACGATTACAAAACAGCCCATGCTGGCTCGAACCGGGGAGGTACCACGACTTTGCAGAATACCAGCGTGAAGTAGATGTTTACTTCTGCGTTTCGTCTGGTAAGTGCAGATGGCTGGAAGCTCAAACCCCCCTTAATATGGTAGCGGAATTACATAAAACACTACCCCAGGAGGACCAGCACCTTGGTATTGGAGAATTCCTCGCTGAGCATCCACGCTCAACCTTTCTTACTTTTCCTGAGCGTAGGTGCTCAGACAGAGCAATAAGACAAAGGAGCGACTAAATATAGTCCAGTTCAATCACTAGAAGACACAGGATTGCAGATTTACCGCAACCCCGAAAACCGTTTTTAAAAACCGTTTGACCGATTTCGATAAAGTTTAAATGGGACCACCTGGGACCCCTTTGAAACAAAAAAGAGTTTTCAAAATTCAGAAATTAAAGAAAGATTCCGACGAATTGAGACCTCCTCCTTTTTTGAAGTCGGTTGAAAAGGGAGCAACATCAAGATTGCCTTTTTGGGTGTATAACTATAACCGCGGGTGGGAGAAGCAACCAGCTGAACCGCATACCCGTGCCGCATTTCCCGATTAGTCCCGATTTCTCACTAACTACCTACTTACCTACATAACAGTAATGGGTTCTTGTCATCACATAGTTTGCGCTATTTCAAAATAATATTCGTACATAACTGTGAAATTAATTAAAAAGTAAAAATAAATAATTTCGCGGACCCCTGATGACTTGTCCACGGAACCTTTAAGTTCCGCGGAAGCCACTTTAGGATTCTCTGGTCTAGAGCACAATGAATTATATGTGGTATATTAGAATTAAGGTGAATAAAAAGTAAACGAAAGAAATAGTTAACGCCATATTCAATATTCGGATCTAAATAATTATAATCTAAATTCTAATATTGTTATATTTTAAGCAAGCGTGTAGTGGAAAGGCATTATGAATGAATGAAATATTACGTAGATTTGGGCTATTTTGAGCATCGGGTCAACAATATTAACATTTCTTATTTATGATGCACGCCGGCGTCACTGTTATGACAAAGCTGATATTGCATGCGTCGTGCATAATTTTAATCTTTTGTGAATATACAATAAGGGTATACCTACTTATTAGTGTTGGAATTTTAGGCTTTGTAACTAAGCTATTGTAGTAAAAACTAAATAAAATATGATTTTAAAAACTAAATAAAATCATATTTTATTTAGTTTTTACTACAATAGCTCCGTAACGAAGAGCTGAATATTAGAGCCAATATAATTAAAGACGTATAAGGAATCCATCTTAGTTCTCAGGGGTGACAACGTATCTGTAGTCTTCTTTGTTTGAAATTGACTGCAGGTGTTCATCTACTGCAGTAGCCACTAACATCAGATGGACTGAGAGGTCGTTGGCCACTTCATTTCTATAAAAAAAGATGACAGTAGATCTTATACTGTATACAATATATTTAATTTACTTATAAGGTCGTTTATATTTTTCTGTTTATAATTGATATCTGACTTGAGTGTTTTTTTTTTTATATAAATAGGGTGACAAACGAGCACACAGTCCACCTGATGATAAATGGTTGCTGGCCCATAGACATCTACATCTATCCTCGTTTGCGAATCAAATCATTCAACACAGCAGTGTTAAGCTGCTATTTTAAGCTGGTATTCTGTGAGGGCGTGGTCCTTCCCCGGTCGAGCCGACCCATTCGTGCTACAACTATACTACTAATATAGCTGTAGCATGGCTCTACCACGTAAACGTACGTTTTTTTAAAAGTATTTCTTCGATTTAGAATTTTGAATATACTGTTCGTATTCGATGTTATTGAAACTCATCATCTGTATTTATCGTATGGTCATCAGATTACGCATACGGATAGCATATAGTATGAGTGCCTTCGCCTGTGAGCCATTGGACACAATACTTTAATGTGACCTGTGCGTTGGACTTAATTTAAAAACATCACACCTACCCTAAGTATTGAGTATTAGCAAATATTTTCTGCCGACTTCCAAAAAGGAGACGGTACTCAATTCGACGCGTATGTTTCTTTTTATGTGTGTTAACCTCATAACTTTTTACTGGGTGAACCAATTTCGATGATTCTTTTTTTATATGAAAGCTGATACTTCTCATGTGGTCCCATATAAATTGATAAAGGTCAGACTAACAGTTTTTGAGTTATTTGAGTTATTCTTAATAACTTATATTGAAGTCGGCTGTACAAAATTTTTAATTTTAAATTATATTATAATTTACGCGCTACTCAGTTGGATGAAAGGGAATCTAAAGAAGGCGATGCGACCATATCGAAATAGCGCAAGGAAATAACGTTTCGATAATCTGAGAAACAAGGATCTGCCCTCATTCTTCCCATGTACATAAAAATATTATATATACTCCAAAGTGATTTTATCAAGAATATTGTTTTAAAGTGAGCGGTTACGGCGGCGCGAGTGAATGCGGCGACAACGAGCAACTGATGCTGTCGGAACTGCCGGAACCTCCGATAGCCCTGTCGGATATCGGGCCGATTCCGCCGCCGCCCATGTTCAGCTCGCCCAGCCCCACGCGCCACCATCATCAACACCAACATGCGCTTTCCCATCAACCTCTCTCTGACTGTGAGTTTTATTATTCATTAAAAATATCTTTATTTCTAGGATTTCATCACTTACCATCTGGTGGGATTGTAATCAAGCACTGACTTATAATAAATAAAAAAAAACGCATGTAGTATTCTTCACGACGTATTTTAATGAATTTGTGAGCAATGTTCTCTTCATATTCGTATTATTCGTCACCTATGTTACTGTGCACTTAAATATTGAATTTAGCCATCCCTTATTAGAATTAAAAACGATCTACTAAATACTGAATGAGTTGGTCATGTTAGAAACCGAATCTCGATTGAATTTGCTATAATATTTGCCAAAACTATTCGTAAAAAGACAAGCTACTAAATGCAAAGATAGAAATCAATCTATACATCTATACAAATAAATAAAATTGAAGTGTCTGTTTGTAATGTCAAAATAACAGCTTTTTACTAATTGCATATAAAAGTATATACGGAACCTATAACAAAAACACAATTTTTAAAATTTTTGTCTGTCTATCTGTCTGTCTGTTTGTTCCGGCTAATCTCCGAAACGGCTGGACCGATTTTGACGGGACTTTCACTTTCAGATAGCTGATGTTATAAGGAGTAACTTAGGACACTTATATTTTAGAAAAAAAAAAGGGTTCCACGCAACAAAATTAAAACCCTAAATTACACGCGGGCGAAGTCGCGGGAACGGCTAGTAAATAATAAATATTGGAACTACTGTAGGATGTCCTTTAAGAACCTTCGAGTATTTATAAGCATAGCTTTCTTATAAATACTTTAAGTTTAAAACCTTTTACAGGCCGTTACTATACGGCGTATCTTATATAGTATACGTTCTCATTCATGCACAAAAAACCAAGACAACCGTGAGTTTCTTACACAATAACATCTGTGCACTGATCTCCATGATTGTACACGAACGCACCCTTTTACAGCCGAGGAGGAGGACGAGCAGGAGGAGGATGACATGGAGACGCCACTGAATGCGGACACGTCGCGCGTAGAAGAGATCCCGCCCAAGGAGCCGCTGTTCAATGCGGTGCCGCTGAAGTCCGCGCTGAAGAAGCGGCCGGCGCCCGCCGCCTCGCCCGCCGCCACGCCGCTCGCCACGCCGCTGGCGCCGCGCCAGGACCACCACCACGCCAGTTTCAAGTCAGTACCAGCCTCACTCTACCAGATTTAAATTCTTGTTTTAAATCAGTATTAGTATTTCTTAGCACTCTGTCTCACACCTTTATGGAATAGAAGAAATTATATGAGAGTTAATTCGTGTTTTAGCTGGTACTAACACTGATAGCTTTCGATAACCGTCACATATGACCAATTTTCAATCTGTGTTAAAAAAACTTTGTCAAATTCTAGCACTTAATGATCTTATTAAGTGTTAGAATTTGACAGTATTTTTTTTATGGACGGGACGAAACATTTTTTTTGTTTTTCAGTTTTCAGCCAGCACTGTCAGTCACTTATGGACTGTGTGAAATTTTAATTTGTTTGAAGTTACTTCTAGCATTTTGATGGCGTTCTACATCTTTCCCATATGTTATTATTATATATAAAACATATGGGAAAGATGTAGAATTTAAATTCGGTTTTTAAGACGTTTACTAGCAATTCGGTGCCGCCCTATGGCCATCTCCAATGGGCTCAATGTTTAAAACTCTTTTTGTACTCAGTACCAACACTTTGATAGTGCTCTTTGCCTGTCTGTTATGAACTAAAAGAGATTAATAATTTAGTGAATAAACAAACTGATATTGTTTGTTAAACTATGTCTTATAGTTATAACTTTCCTAAGTAGATACTGACCGATCGGATTCGTTAATGTCGCTAACAAGCAGTATTTTTTATGACTAGAAGAATTATTTCATTTACGTTGTACAAACCAGCACTATATAATTAAAAAAAATGTGTACAATCGGTATAAAATTGTTTCCACGAAATTTTCGTTCGATTTGCTAAAAATTTAGACAAAACCTTTGATTTTAAAATCGATAATGAAACGCACATTATGTTCTGTCTCTCGGATTGACGTTATGTTATGTTTTAAAAATATTACAGACAAGAACAAGATAATTTAGATGGTATAAAATGTATCGAAATATAAGCTTATTTTTTTATAAATAAGCTGCTTTCATGATATGCAGTCATCTATGTATGAATACAGTAACTTATGATTCACAACATTATTAGTTTATTTGTTTTGTAAAATGAGATTTCCTCTTCCTCATTAGCCCGTAAACGATCTATTGCTGGACATTGGCTTATCCATAGCAGAGATAGTGAATCTAATGATTGTTATCACAAAATGAGAAGGACGAACGATATATATTATTCCTTAAATTTGTTTATTTAAATTTTAGTATAAAAAAATTAAATTAATCATTGCGAATATGTTTTGGGAACAATTTAAATAACGAAAATCTAAACTTAATATAATATCAAACATAGTTATATAATAATCATATAGATATACACACACAGAAATACTTTATACGTAGGTAATATTTCTAAAATGTAGAGGTGTTGTTATATGCTTGAAAATTCATTTACTGACTGAAAGGCAAGATATGCTCTCATCTCATCAAGTCGTCATTGTAACATTATTTGTGTTAAACTAAAGAACACATTTACATAACCTATGGTATTTGGGCATGTTTGAAATATTGTGCGTTTATTTTTACCATGCGCTGCCTAGCAGACGGCCGCCGCCCAAACCGAGGATCCGCATATGGTAACAGTCCCTCAAGTTTTGTCAATGTTGTTTAATAAGCAATCGCCCAGAGACCTCCCGACGGTCCGCTTGCCTTCCTTCAGCCTTCAGCCCATGCATCGTGCATCGCACGCTTCCGTCTCTCATCATTATAACGTGATCAAAACTAAATTTACTTTTATGTGCTATCCATAGTTCTAAAGTGTCACTTGCAAGGCAGACTTAACCGTTAATGATATTAATATTTTTACTAACTATATAACAATTAAAGAATCATTACACCAACACCAATTGTCGTTATAGATGTATGTAAAACATGAATATACACTACGCAATAAACTACTGCTACCTTGTATTTGAATGATGAACGCTCTGTTTGCTGCTCTATCTATCAATATGTATATTAATATATAGCTCAGTGTTGCATGCAATTGTCCCGTACACTTTGAATACAATAAAAACGATTTGATGTATTCATATTTAAATACATTTAAACATCATACCCAGAAGCGTACTACTCTTAATTATTTTGTCCGTTAGCAATGCCAGTCACTAGTTTTTATCATCAGGAGGTATTGTAGATAAGTACTGGCTTAAAATAGATAAAAAGAAAACAAATTTTGTTCATTGCTTGTAGTTAAGTATGGCTATGACTAAGGAATGGGTACGCACGTTTGTTTCGAGAAAAAAAAAAAACATACCTATGATTTTTCTTTTCCGAACGGATTCGATTGTCTGACGGCCACCGGGATATATCAATTACCAGTAAAAATATTTGTTCATTTCGAAATATGAATGTCGTAATTTAATTAAAAAAATATGACGGGCATTTGGGTTTCCTTTGATAAAATCCTTTTATAAGTGGTATCTGTATATTATGTTTGCCTTTTGCGATTATTAACTTAATTACACACAATGTTTACTTATGTAAAGGCTTGGATCATACCACTGAGCTTATTTCGGTTCGTTTTTAGTTCAACTCACGTACTCAGTATATGAGTGCATTGTTCGTGCATGTTTTCCATTATATGTCACTAACTTGAATTAAAAACGGACATAGAAAATCAGTCACATAGTCCGAGCTCTGTTGCGACCGTTTATGTGAGCGGTTCGGTGATTCCGTGTGTTGTGGACCACAGCAATCGGCCGGTGCGCGTGGGCAACGCGGTGGAGAACAAGGAGAACGCGCGGCCGTGGGAAGGCGAGTACCGTGATGACTACGCGAGCGAGTCGGAACGAGTGGCCGCCAAGCTGGCGCGCAAGGAGAGCCTCAACATCAAGCTGGCGCTGCGTCCCGACCGCCAGGAGCTTATCAACAGGTACACTAAGTTTTGCTTTAAGGGAGGAGTTTAGGTTAGATGGGGTCTCTTTTTACATGGGGAAATCCATACGCATCCATGTATGTGGTCCACCATCGCCGCATATTTCCAGGGCCACGGGAACGTTTGTCACATGAATGGGGCCCTATGTCAGCGATTCATTAAGTAGTGGAGCGGTTTGTCTGCTTTTATCTTGGTTGAGTTGGCACCTCCCTCTTGTCCATTTCTTCAGTGCAGCCTCTGCTGTGTTAAGATTCGAAGAGTAAGAGGGCCAATTTATGTACGCGCATCTCCGTATACAAGGTAAATCAAAAGATACCATTTAATGCCTGCCGAATTTAAAATGAAAATGAAATAAAGATATTTTCATATTCAAGTTTTTATTAACTTTTGTGACAATTTGATTCTTACTCAGCTGTCCTACGCTGCCCCCACAAAAATGGGACACAGTCAAACAACAAACATGATTTAATATGTAAAACGAAACAAATTTTTATACTACATTTATTTTAATTCAGTTATTACAAGGGGCCATTGTTTGTTTGTTAAAAGTTGGGAATGATATGCTCCTGTACAATTTCAACCGAGTGATCAATCGGATCAGACAATAATTTATATTAAATATTATAATATTATGCCTTACGTAAATACCTAGTGGAATTTCATTATCATCATCATCATTACAGCCTTTCATAAGTTCACTGCTGAACATAGGCCTCCCCCAAGGAATGCCACAAAGCACGGTCCTGAGCCACCTGCATCCATCGACTTCCTGCATGTCTTACCAGGTCGTCACTCCATCTCGTGGGGCGTCGCCCTACACTTCGCCTACCGGTACGAGGCTGCCACTCGAGAACCTTTCTTCCCCATCCGTTGTCGGTTCTTCGAGCTATATGGCCGGCCCATTACCACTTCAGCTTACTAATCTGTTGGGCTATGTCGGTTACTCTGGTTCTACTGCGGATATCCTCATTTCTAAGTTTATCACGCAGAGAAACCCCGAGCAAGCCCTCTCCATAGCTCGCTGAGCGACCTTGAGCTTCCTCATACGGCTAACAGTGAAGGACCACGTCTCAGTTCCATAGGTCATCACTGGCAACACGCACTGGTTGAACAGTCTCGTTTTAAGGTTCTTAGGTATGTCTGACGAGAAGATGTGTCGTAGTTTCCCGAACGCTGCCCAGCCGAGTTGAATCCGTCGATTGAACTCTCGGCCGAAGTTAGACTTACCTAGACGGATTATTTGTCCCAGGTAGACATTTTCGTCAACAACTTCGAGCTTAGTGCTCCCAACAACTACCGGCATAGGTGTGATATGGACATTAAACATGATCTTTGTTTTGTCCATGTTCATCTTAATACCTATCCGTTGGGAGACACTATTGAGGTCATTGAGCATGGTGCTTAGTTCCTCCAGCGATTCTGCCATAAGGATTATATCTTCGGCAAATCGAAGGTGAGTGATGTACTCGCCATTGATGTTAATACCGTATCCTTTCCAGTCCAGAAGCTTGAAAACGTCTTCCAATGCAACGGTGAAGAGTTTCGGGGATATAACGTCACCCTGTCTTACACCTCTCTGCAATTGGATTGGTTTCGTACTCTGGTTCTGTACTCGGCTAGCCATCGTAGCCCTACTGTACAAGCACTTCAGCACTTCGATATACCGACAGCCAACTTGGCACTGCTGAAGGGACTGCAGCACCGCCCAAATTTCGACGGAATCAAAGGCTTTCTTATAGTCCACATACGCCAGGCATAGTGGCAAATTGTACTCCTCGGACTTCTGTACAACTTGCCGAAGGGTATGTATGTGGTGATGGACCTGAGGCGGAAGCGATACACGGAGTAGTTGAACTCACTACCCCGTACAGGAGACGAGGCCCGGACAGACCGGGGCAGCACTAGTGTGGGGTTGCGGAAGAATTTAGATTCCCGCGGCCCCGCGCGCACGTGCGAGGGGGTGGTTTTAGCTGGTAAGAGTCCGGCACGCCCCTCCGCCTTTCCCCAGGCGGAGGTAGTCCATGAGGATTACCCACGTAAAAAAAGGGTATGTATGTGGTCTATGGTGCTAAAGCCCTTTCGGAAACCGGCTTGTTCGGGAGGCTGGAAGTCGTCAAGTATGCGCGCGAGACGATTCGTAATGACTCGAAAACAGCACGTAGACGCGGCTCTGTAGTTCTTCAAGAGAGCGTTGTCACCTTTCTTGAATAACAAGACCACCGCACTTCTGCTCCACGCCTCTGGTGTAATGCCACCATGGAGGACGGAATTAAAGAGCTTCTGAAGGACTTCAAGTACCGGTTTCCACCCGCTTTCAGAAGCTCCGCTGTAATTCCATCCTCGGCTGGGGCCTTGCCGTTTTTAAGGTGCTGGAGAGCCATTCTAATCTCGCTCAGACTGACGTCCGGGATATCTTCGGAATAGTGGAATATCTGCATAATATATCTACACAAATAAATAAAATTGAAGTGTCCGTTTGTAACGTCAAAATAACAGCTTTTTTTACTAAATTCATATGAAAATAAATAACGTACTTATAACAAAAACACAATTTTTATAATTCTTGTCTGTCTGTCTGTTTGTTTGTTCCGGCTAATCTCCGAAATGGCTGGACCGATTTTGACAGGACTTTCACTGGAAGATAGCTGATGTTATAAGGAGTAATTTAGACTACTTTTATTTTAGAATAAGAATTAGGGTTCCGCTCAAAAATTTTAAAACCCTAAATTACACGCGGGCGAAGTCGCGGGGAACAGGTAGTTTTATATAAGTTCTAATTACTTTGAAAATATGAGCTGGCAAATAGTCTCTCTAATATTAACTGATTCTAATCTGTAAGTACTTACCATATATGAAGTTCATAGTGTAAACAGACCGAATCGTACTCTCGAGTTTTATAATGAACATATTAAATCAATTAAGTATATAATATTATATGAAGCCTGCTGACCAGGTCTTGATTGACTGTTGGGGAGCTTGACATGTCCTACAGAATGCGTATTATACGTGGTAGAGCCATGCTGCAGCTATATTGGTAGTATAGTTAGTTGTAGCACGAATGGGTCGGCTTGACCAGGGAAGGACTACGCTCTCACAGAATACCAGCGTAAAATAGTAGCTTAACACTGCTGTGTTTCGTATGGTGAGTGTAGAGAACCGGATACCCTTTTTTACTGAAAAAGAGGTGAATACCTTTCTGAATACTGAATACCATCTTAGTCCTCACGGGTGACAACGCATCTGCATTTTGATTCTTTATTGAGGATAGATGTAGATGTTTATGGGTCACAGCAACCACTTACCATCAGGTGGACTGTGTGCTCGTTTGTCACCCTGTCCTATAAAAAATGTGATTTATTTTCAGATACGCTGGTTTGTTCTAGATATTTTCCTTCATTGTGACAAAGTCTGTTGGTACACTTAAAATTACAATTAACAATAATATCGCGCATTCACAAGTACTACAAGCGCCCAGTCTAAGCTACTAATTAAAATAAATATTTATATCCAGAGTTCGGGCAAAATTTTCAAGGTATTTAACTGGCACGTTACCTTGAACAGCAATACATACATGTACCACACAAACTATAGCGTCCCGGTAGTAAATAGTGATTCAAAACACGTGTAGAGTTGCGTAACTAATGTCAGTGTTACAATATTAACCGGACTGCTGAAGCGTCGCACCCGTTCACCGTGCTCTAATTGTACATGTTTATAAATATCCACATCGTGGCAGTGAATTAGAACTGTGTCTGCTTCTGGCATGCACCGCAAGCGTTCGCTTATCACTCGATAGCATGAATTATAGTTAGTTCATGGGGACATTGTCACAAATAAGTGTTCTTTACGCTATAGAAATCGATTAAAAACACCACATTCTACTTCTTCACTAGGTTTAATTATAATTTTTGGACTCAAGTAGCACAAGATAGTGACTGATAGTTTTTTTCGGAGGCCGCCCTTACTCGTACGTAAATATACATTTTTAAAAGTAACATTAATTTAAATCACTAAGTTTAAGATGCTTGATGCTACAGTCACTCCCTTATAAGCTGCAGGGAATAAATGGTTTTCCCTTAGCTAGGCCTTATTACCCGCAGGTACCTTACTTCTAAATACCTACAGTTTTCAATATACAGTTAAAAATATTTGCTTGGGATTTCGTTATTACTTACTTTACCTCAATAAACTTGTTTATTCAATGAAATTACGAATATGAGCGCACAATCAAAGTTTTAACACGATTTCGAATTATGTAATAACTTTTTTTTAGAATTTTTAAACTTAATTGAAAACAATATATCTTGATTTTATCAATTTAGCATTTTATCACGTTATCCAACCATCAACAGAAGGCTGATGGTACATTCTAGAAAGTCGGGTCCTTATGAAAAAAGTGCTAGGTTCACCATCATCATTTATTATATTCAGTGTGTAAACAAACATTTTCCAATTAAATATCTGTATTGTAAACCTATAGGGTTATTAATAGGGATCAAGACTTGCAAATATAACAGGTAATAAACTTATTTTTGCTCATATACCTAAAATTAATGATAATATTATTTGGCCTGAAAAGGAAAAATTATTAAAGTAACTTATTTAAGAAACTATTTGTAACCATAAAAATCATAATTTAAAGTCTATCAAGAACAAGCTGCTTGCATCGTATGTCTGGGAGTTTTATTTTCGTCAGCACCGTCAATCATCGTACATTGTTGTCAAATTTGTAATTATTCCTGTGTGTGTGTGTGTATTTTTGCAAGCATGAACTTGACAGTGGTATTATCTCTCATTACAGTTCGTGTCATTAGTACAAGTTTACGAAAATTTTGTAAATACCTACGTTCCACGCCGGCTGACCGAATTTGTGATTGTAATTTGCTGTAATTAAATTAGTATTTGTAACAGCGAATTGGGACTTAGCCAAGATTTTGTATTAATCGAACATTATGAACTTGTATTTTGTGTCACGAGAGTGTTCACAAATTTTATATTGCCCGTCGGTGGCAACACGCTCGCAGTGTAACGAATACATTTTATTGTTAGCTACTGTATATACTTTATCTAGGACAGTCGGATCAGTGCTATTTTATAACATTGGTGAAATGTGATATTTTATTTGTAATGTGTTATTTGTTGGCGCACAGAAACATTCTGGTGGTGCAGAGCGAACACGAGCGGCAGGAGTCGTGGGAAGCAATCGGCGCCCGGCTCATACGTCGGCTGTCCATGCGGCCCACTGCAGAGGAACTCGTTGAGAGAAATATATTGAAAAGTAAGTTTTACTTCCATATAACCTATTATAAGACCTTGTATGAAAACGAAAGCTTAATTCTATTTCAATCCAAAGGTCAGTCGCCCGCCGAGGAAAAGAAACAGAAAGAAGAGAAGAAGCGTTACTTGCTGCGCAAGCTTAGTTTTCGGCCCACCGTAGATGAACTCAAAGAGAAGAAAATTATCCGATTCAGTGACTACATTGAGGTGACGCAGGTATGTTATAGTTTTTATCTCTGCTCAAAACTTATCAAATAAATTTAAATATTTATATTAATAAGATTTTCTTTTGTAAGATGTCAATTTTAAAGTTTTACAGGTTTTACTCATTTTCGCACGAGATTTCTTGTAAACAAACCATAATATGTTCTTATCTTTTATTTATGATCATGCTCTATTTTCTGTTTCAAATACATTTTTCTTCTTGTCAACCTACTTGCAACCCGTGACATCTTGCGTATTTCCTTTAACCTTTGTGTGTATTTTGATAAACCTTTTTACCCACGGACCTTTTAGCCCTACCCTACTTGAAAAAAATGAAGGGAACTTTCAATTGCTCAGGATATATTTTAGGGCCACAAGTGTTCTTGCTGACGCTTAGTCATTTCGTCCTAACCCAGAGATTATCAAACTTATTTCTTTTACCGACCCTTTTGAAAATCAATTATTTTTCAACGCCGCAAATTTTTTATACACTCCTAAAACTTGAAAACCACAATTCCATTACTTTAATTGGTTTAGTTATGGTGTGCTATATTAGTCGGTTCTGGTGTTTAAACTTATATTCTAAACTTATAACCAGTGAGAGCAATTAAAACGCAACTTTATAATATTAAGAATATATTTCAATGAAATTAAAAGAAACAAAATAGATAGGTAATCAATTTTAGTTGTTTTTTTTATAGGATCGGGTGACAAACGAGCACACAGTCCACCTGATGGTAAGTGGTTACTGTGACCCATAGACATCTAAATCTATCCTCAATAAAGACTCAAGATGCAGATGCGTTGTCACCCGTGAGGACTGAGATGGAATGCCTCTTTGCCAGTAAAAAGGGTCTCCGGTTCTCTACACTCACCATATGAAACATAGCAGCGTTAAGCTGCTATTTTACGCTGGTTTTCTGTGAGAGCGTGGTCCTTCCCCGGTCGAGCCGACCCATTCGTGCTACAACCATAATATAGCTGCAGCATGGCTCTACCACGTAGAAAATGTCATACGTAGTTTTAAAACTAATCTAATGAGATGGATGAATTTGATGATTTTTAACAAGTTTGTTGATATCAGGTTGGAAAATTGTGGAACTCACTCTTATGGAACTCAATTCTTCTTGTGTAAGAGCAGCTTGGCTACGAAAGCAGCGACGACATTTTTTGTTTTTATTAAATTCAAGCCATCGCATTGAAGTTGGAGGTTCATATCATTAAGTAATTTATAAAGGTCTGTCAGGTATGCGATATCATTCTTTGATGAGATGAGGTTGTCGCGCAATTCTGTGTCTTTGTTTTCCAAGAACTCTACGACAGAGTCAAATAGATTGTAAAATCGAGTCAGACAATTTCCTTTTGATAGCCAACGCACTTCTGTGTGAAAGATTAATCGGTTAAAATCTTCATCATTAGTAACACAAAGCTGATTAAATGATCTGTCATTTAAAGAGTTACTTCGGATTTTATTGACTGCTCTGATGACATGTTGCATTGATTGAAACAGTCGTGCACTTAAATTTCAAGCAAGCAAATGTTGTTGATGTATAACGCAACGTATATCAAGCACATCTGGAATTTTTTTTAAAAACGCTATGTAGTCTTTTTGACACCCCGTCATTGCTGGAGCACCATCTGTAGCAGCTGATATAATAATCTTCAAGGGAATTCCTTTTTCATCAAAAAACTTTTTCAGTGTTTTAAATATGGTTTCTCCTTTTGTGTCTGTCTCTAAATTTCTAGCAAATAATAGTGGTTGACATATTTTTTCATCTTTAATCACGTAAGACAGCAACAAATGCTTCATTAGTTGGTAAAGTAGACTCATCCAACTGAAATGAAAATTGACGAGTCTTCAGATGATTACACAATGATTCTTCAATGTTTTCAGCCATTTCATCAATTCGTCTTCGCACAGAACTATTGCTCAAAGGAACTTTTCGAATTATGTCTACCGCCGGTTTATGGAGCACAGTAATTATTAGGTCCTTGCATATGAAATTGGAGTTTTGTACGGGAGGGATATAAAGACAATTTTTTTTTGTAAAATATATTTAATTAATCAAAGTATGCACCGTTGTTATCTATGCACTTTTGCCATCTCATAGGTAGTTCATTGATCCCATTACTAAAAAAAAACAATGGGGGCGAGTATCAATAAACTCTTTGAAGGCGGTTTGGGCTGCCGCATCGGAGTTGAATTTTTTTCCTTGTAAGAAGTTGTCCGAATTCCGGAAAAAATGGTAATCTGTTGGAGCAAGGTCCGGGGAGCCCGGTAGATGTCGCAGACATTCCAATTGTAGCTCATCTAACTTAGTGGTTGTTTGTTGTGCAGTGTGTGGTCTTGCGTTGTCGTGAAGCAGCAGTGGCCTAGAGCTATTGATCTCTATTTATCTCAGTTGTTTAGCAGCTAGTTCTTCCATCATGGTTTGCAGTTGCTGACAATAGATATCTGCCGTAATCGTTTAGCCAAATTTTAGAAAACTGTAGTGAACGACACCGGCGCTAGTTCACCAAATACTCACAAGTAACTTTTTCTGAGTCAATTTTCGTTTAGGGCAGGGTTTGGCTGGGTCTCCAGGGTACAGCCATTGCGACGAGCGCTTCCGATTATCGTACAGTATCTACTTTGCATCACAAGTAATGATTCTATTTATAATCCCTTCATTATTGTGTCGGTTGATTAAAGTAACACAGAAGTCGACGCATGTTTTCAAGTTCGATTCACTCAATTCATGAGGTACCCATCGTTTTTTTACTTTCCCGATTTGCTTCAAGTGGATTAATACAGTTTTATTACTTACCCCGAAGCCTGCAGCTATCTCTGAAGTGCTTTGTGATGGATCCGCTTCCACAATAGCCTTTAATTCTTCATTTTCCACTTTGGTCTCCGGCCGTCCACGGAGTTGGTTCTGAAGGTCGAAATTTCCAGAACGAAAACGTTGAAACCAAAAACGTACCGTGCTTTCTTTTGCGACACCAGCGCCGTACTCATCATTAATCCTTCGAGCTGTTTCTGCAGCACTGGGGCCACGGTAGAACTCGTACTCGTAAATATACCGATATTTCATGTTTTCCATTGTGTGGTAATAAGCGACACCAAAGAAAAAAATAATGAGGAAAAAACAAATGAATGACTGTTTTCAAAACTCAAATGTACCAGCTAAATGAATTTATAAAGGAGATGAACTTCGTTCCATACCAGCTTGGGCCCGGCGTGAACAAAGTTCAAATGTATCTTAATTTGAAGATTTAAACATTTGTTACTTATGACAAAAAATCATATTTTTGTCGGAGCTGGGGTTTTGTTTTATTATTTGTAGGTTATGTAGTAAAATCACTCGTTCTTGGTGATAAGATGTTTCAATAAATTGAAAAGAACACAAAAGGATTCCGCTTTTTAGTTATTATTAAATAAAATAAAATAAATTACAACTCAAACTTTTCTAATTGTTTAATTATTTTCTGCAATTATTAATAAAATGTCATCTAGAAAAGCAGCCGGAAGCTGTACATTGTCTGTTATATTCCTCTCAAAACCCAAGTAAAACATTATTAATCATTATCATTACGTGGGCGCAACAACTTACTGTCCTGTAAAGCAAGAAAACCCAGGGGTCAAGTTAAATTAATTCACGAAAATAAAAACACGAAATATATCTACAAAGACAATCACAACGCCAAATGTGCATGACAAGTTTAAACTCGAAGTTACCAAGTTAAGTCTCCTTTAAAACAGGCAATGATCAACGACCATATAGCCTATTCAATCGTGTCCAATATTATTTAAATATTTTGTTTAGTTTAATAACGTAGTTTATTCAATCGATTTTCTAAATAGATTTCTTTTATTCATTATTAATCTCTACAGATTCGCCTCAATGTTTCAATATTATGAATTTTTTTTTTTGATACTGAAGGCTATTTATTATAAAAAAATAGGCTTCATTATCTAATGCCATAGACCAAATACATAAAAATATTTAAAAAAAATTGTTTTTGCTATGGTAAAACCATTAGCTTTCATTTTTCAGGTTTAAAAAAATGTTTTTATGATTGTCCCATACACTACAGAAATAAAAACTATTTAATTATGCTTATAATTTATCGTTATATTACCTACATATTTTTGTATAACTGTTACGAACGATGTCAACAACCCAATTTCATACATCTCCTTTGAATTTGGAATTCTTAACCAAAGAGGAGATATTTCAGATCAAAGTGCTAATACCTAGGTACGACAAAACGCTAATTTCATATGTAAGGACCTAATATAACTTCTTTTATTGTCGGCAAAATTAACGTTTCTCCAATGGTGTGTGGTTTACCTGTTTGAGCAATTAACAAAGAGATATTGTGTTGAAGTCCGTCATCGTCTTGCTTAGCAGCCACCGAAAAAAGTTTTGATACACTTGGATGAGCATTATGCTTCTTTCCAGGCCTTGAAAATAGGCTACATTTTTGTCCTTCTTATCTGGATGTATTTTATTGAAATTTTCTTGAAGTCTTGAAGGCTTAATCGCTTCATTTGAACAAAGAAGTTCGTTTTTCAACAAAGAAGGCACAAAGGCAAAGATGGATTTGTCGAATTTTCTATGAATCCATATTTAATATATTGTGCACTATATTGCCGTCTCTTTTTTTCTTCCGACGTGGCTTTGTTTTTACAAAGTAAATAAAGTGTTGAACTTAAATACTTGTTTAAAGATTGTGCGCGAAACCACAAATGAAAAATATATAAAAATTATTACGAGCTTTTATATAGGATTTAAATACAGCACGCATCGACAGGTATAAGACAAACACACACAAACTCGTTTATCTCTTTCGACGCTCAATCGTACTGAGCAAGTTAAGACAAGTATCGATGAACCAGCCGATTGCCACCGGATTGCACCAATAGCGTTATTTAACAAAAACTTGTTACAACTTGATTGCGTATGGCGTACGGGCTATCCTACGAAATCTATGTTAAGTATTTCTAGTTTATATACCTTCATACAGGGCAGAAATATAAAGTATCTAAATGAAATTACAAATCAACCATCGCCCCCTTAAACCACGCCAACGCCCCCCATTTTTTTCTGGGCCCCTTAACGCCCCCCTCTAGGTCTCCAACGTCCACAAGGGGGCGTTATCGCCCACTTTGAGAAAGTCTGTCCAACTTCTTCTTTCTCTCTTTATTTATAAAACGTGCTAGATCCACGCTGCAGCTATATTATGGTTTTAAGATGAATGGGTCCTCTTGTCTGCTGAAGGACATCGCTCTTACAAAACACCAGCGTAAAATAGCAGCTTAATTTTGCCATTTTACGCTGGTATTCTGCAAAACCTTTAATGTGTTTCGTATGGTGAATATAGAAAACCAGGAACTGGAAGGTATTTGAAACGAGGCCATTCTCTTTCATCATCCATCTTAGTCCTCAGGGGTGACAACGCACCTGCAGTTTGATTTTACATCAAGGATAGATATAGGAGTAGATGTTTATAGGCTTTAATTTAATCTATAAAAAATATCATGTTTACATTTATCTTGTCTGGATTCGCCATACATCCTGCGATTTTTAAGTCTTATAACGCGGATTGAGAAAAAAGAGAGTGATCCATTTTTCCAGGCGCACGACTACGACCGGCGCGCCGACAAGCCGTGGACGCGGCTCACGCCACGCGACAAGGCTGCCATACGACGCGAGCTCAACGAGTTCAAGAGCTCCGAGATGGCTGTGCACGAGGACAGCAAACACCTCACCAGGTAACTTTATACCTTAAGGCCGGGTTGTACAAAAATATCTTATAAACACAATTTTGACGCTCGAGAATTAAATTTCATGAACACTTCTTAAAATGGCAAAGATATACCGCTAAATGACGCAAGTCGTGTTCCCTTATGATGTTAGGTGTAACCCATTTCCTTCGGAGAATGGGTCTGGATAGGTGTGTTGCGTATAAAAATCGGTTGCGGCGCGGCCTTTTTTTTGGGTTTGGTTATAAAGGTTAGCGAAATTCGAAGTACGGTTGCTTCGCTGGCCAACCGTAGATCGTTGGGTTCCAAAATGAAATAAGACGATATAAAGACGCTGAAAGACGAAAAATGGCTAAAGCATTCCGGTTGGCGACCGGAGGAAAGGACATGGGGGCGATTTCCATGGGGGTTCGGGCGTCAACGCGGTCTCCATGCTATCATCGATGCTGTGACTCTATTTGCTTACCTATGTTATGTGTATAGCGCCTCGTCCAACTGCCATTCTTTCAACCTATTTACTCCACCTCATAATAAACAAAAGAAAAAAAGAATAGTAGGTTTTTAGAGCTGTGCAACCGCTCAATCAAAGTGCACCCCACAAACATCCAAGGTTTGCACTGTAATCTCCATGCATTCCACTACCACCTTGAGAATGACAATCCGCACTTAGTTTTTTTGACTGCAGAAGCAGAAGCAGATCGAATGTCCTCTATATGCGACATACCTTGGCTACCCTGGGTACACATTGAAGCATAATTCCCACCAGCGCACCGGAGTCTGTGTATTTCTGCAATGACATCTGCTATAAGCGTCTCCTTCTCCTCGAAGACTCTACTTTCTCCACGATTTGGATATTGGACAGAGACACATGAACGGATAAAATTATTTATTCTTGTGTTCTATATATTCCTGATCACGAGACCACTTTCACCCGAGATTACTGCACAGTCACAACTTCCTGTTATGTCGGACGCCGCATTCTCAGCTATCTTGCTTAGATAGTTCTGTCTGTGCATCATAATTTTTGGTTGGCCATAGCAAAGACAAGATATAATATACCGAGATTAATGACCGCGGGTAGCCTGAACTTGTCAAGTTGACACTAAAGCCCAACCTCTCTCGCTTTGCGTTCGAGGTGTGCAATATTTTTTACCGTCTAAAAAGGGATGAAACCTTACATTATATATATAGTGACAGCGCGACAGAAACTTCCTTTTCTTATAAACCTTCTTAGAAGCGGGAAAGTATTTTATGCTAGCACACCGTTTGCGACTTTACAAGGCGCAAGTTCGGTCTCACATGGAATACTGTTCTCATCTCTGGGTCGAGCTACCTCAGAACCAGGTTCTTCTACTTGACTGCATGACTTAGTAGTGGAATCGGTTGCCACCGGCGATTTGTCCGGACCAATACAACTTAGTTTTTAAAAGTCGGCCAGCGTACCTACGATTCCCCTTTTGTTGCAGTTGTTTATGGGCGACGGTCGACTCTTACTGTAAGGATAAGCCGCATGCTCGTTCGCCCACCTTTCACTAAAAATAAAAGTCGACAAAGACATTGAAAGTATAAGAAATAGCAATTTTGTGTTTAGAAATTAATATTCACATCAAAATATTATGTGCAAATATAATAAATAATTTAATATGAATGGGTTATTATATTATACCTGTTTATGCAAACAAACAAAATAAATGATATATTATAAGACATACAACAACAATGCCGTATACACCACTTTTGAGTAGTAAGCAATCCAAAAGCGTATCTTTTGTTTTCATTAGTTTCTGTGCCGAACACAGCCCTAATACTTTTTCAGTTCTCGCTGTTGGGCGGCGTCTCTTAAGTGGATTGTCACCGAGCATACTATAACCACAAATTAATTTACTTAAACTTTTCTAAACCACAGGGAATGAATTTACATCGTCGATTACCAAGCGAAATCTAATGAGCTCTTGATTTAGGCCCGTATTAATAAACGTTCCTTAGATCAATTGCGTCTTAGGTTTACGTTATCAGCTGAGTAATGCACTATTTAATAAACGAAACTCCACCCTCAAGTACACAGTAGGTGAGTATACTTGAGATGTTAAAATCAGTGCAGGCGGTCCGTGACTTGAGATTGTGATTGCAGTAGCGCGAATCGTGGAGTTTGAAAATATTTTGAGTGAAATTATTACGATGAAATGGAGAACTATTCCTAAAAATTGTTTAATCATTTTGACACTGACGCCGCCATTTTAATGCGTTATGAGTTGAGTAGTAGACATTTAAGTCGTATTTAGAAATACATATACACAATAGTTTCTACTATTTAAGAGTTTCCTAAATAGAAAACAACTCTATACCGTGAAATGTGATGTGATAATAGTCTAAACTTCTGCCAATGTTACGTAATTATTATTCACGAGATCAAGCACTCAAGTCACAGAACACTATCCCAGGTACAGCATCTTGACGAGCTGATCTTGATAAATGAGATACTGTTCTTATGCGTTGCTGAAATCGTAATGAAGGCGTATCAAATGATTACGCACTTGAGTTCGTCGTCGAGGAACGTTTATTAATACGGACCTTAGACATTGATAAATCTGAAATAAAATATGTTAAATGGTTTTTTGTTCTTGGGTCACATTAATGTTTCAATATATTTTTAAATAAATAGTACATGTCTACTTAACACAAGGCATTATAAAGTTAAGATCTGGGGGCACGGTAGTGCCCCAGCCAAGTCGAGCAAAAAAGCGACACGGCCGTACCATCCTTTTCTCGAAGCAGTTCAGGCCATTTTCGTAATCCTATAACTTCGTTGTGGATAAAACTAGAAGCCTGAATTGTCAATGAAAATGGCCAAGTCAATCTTTTTAAAATATAAAAGATTTTTAATATTGATATGGTCACTTTAAGATGTTGTTAGCTAATTACGTAATAACTTAAGACAGAAGGACCCTTAAGTAGGGACTGAATAAATTAACCGACTTGGTATTCTCTCACAACTTTTTACAGTAGAAGAACTGAGTTGCGAGACTTGGTTTTTTTTACAAGTTATGTTTTCGATGGCATTTTATTATTACTAGGAATTCCGCCGAGGTTACGTATATTTACAATTTTTTTTTATTTTATTTTTTTAGATTCCATAGACCATGACGGCTGTGCCATAAAACTGGATTGAACCGCGGTGAAAGGCCGCGTGGCTGAGCGCGACTCTTAGTCGCCAAGGCTTGCCAGCGCCAGCCGTCACTCTTCGTCACTCGCCACCGCTGACTGGCATGCGCTGCCACCGGCTGCCACTCGCCGCCGCTCTACACCACTTAGCGGTGGCACTTGGCATCTTCTCTTAACCAAGGACGTGGCCGCACCTGTGATTTCTAAACGTATTTATATATTGACTTCTTCCGATTTTCGGAAGATTTGTATGCAATAACTTACCACAACACAGTGTTGAATATTATGTTTTACCGAAGTTTCGATGTTAAATTTTTTGTAAGCGCGTACTGTGAGTGCAATTTTGTTTTAAATTTACCTTTATATATCGTAGTTATATCGAGTACAATTCATTATGATTATAATTACGTTTCTTAAGTTGGCGTATCCTAAGCATAACCTATACATTCTATAAATTGACCTTTGCGTAAGGTTAGTGATACTGATTATTGTGGTCGAGATAAGAGTTTATAAAGCTCGGTGAGATTTACGAGTGAAAAAATTTGAAGTGTGAGACGTATCCATCTTAGAGTGTTACGTAAACTTGTGATTATTTTCTTATATTGTTAGCTAGTAGCTGCGTAGACATTTAAACAAGATTCGATTTGTATCATATTTATTTCCTATCACAGCCACTTTGTGGTCGCAATTCGATATTATATGACTGGCCTGGCCAGCGCGTCTTCTAGGTTTTTTTTCTACTGCATAAATTAGGGGAAAATGCAAAAAAAAGTACATCAATTTTTATATTTAATATAAATAAGAAATGTTTCATTAATTTAATCTGGTTACGCTTGTCTAGAGATACTACCACAGATTTTCATTAATTGTTTCTAGGATATGTTTGTGGTGTAGAAGCATTCGGACAACCGACGGATAAATTTCAAAGCGCAAACTGAATAAATATTGTTTTTACAAAAAAAGACTAATAGGTGTTATATTTGTGAAGTACTTTCAAATGCGCAATGCGCTCAACGAAACACGCTTTCTTTGATAAATATCAACTAGTTTAATAATGCTTCCAATTGCTGTGCGATGTAACAATAATGATTTAAGTCGAGATAATTCGTAATGTGTTACTCTTTTTAAAACATTCTAAAGTAGAAATTTGGCAATAACTCTGTGTTGTGCACTCTGTGTGTGCTTAGCAAGACGTGATTCGACACCAAATATAGCACTTATTACTTGTGCAATAATTCCAGTGTACCAATATAGAATACGAGCTTTTCATATGAAAAATATTGTGTTACCTCAATTTATGTATATGTATCTTATCTGTTTGCATCGTTTAATATAGAAATTATATTTTTATAAGGAGACAAAATCACAATACTATTCTAATTAATCTTGATAGGGAATATATTATAATAATTATCTGTGAAACATTAAAACTGTAATATAAGCACGGCTACAATAGCTGAACTGGTCCAGTGGCACGATTTTTAAGTACGATGATCAAAACTCAGTATTGAAATACATAGTATCAAAGTCAAGGAGACTTTAGTAGAGGTGTTATCAAACTGTCTTCAAGCTTAAAAAATATTTTTTAACTGTTTCTCATATTTAAATAAGACTAGTTTTACGGATTTTATCGTGTATATTAACTTATTTTATATTCCCGACGTTTCGAGCACTTTACAGCACCAGCAAAATTATTATAAGAAAATTTTAATCTGGAGGTAGCTGTGGTTAACTATGACATAGGGACGTCAAACACCTCAGTCTCCCCGCCCCCTCCCCCGTGACCATGGGTGCGGTAAAGTGCTCGAAACGTCGGGAATATAAAATATGTTAATATACGCGATAAAATCCGTGAAAACTAGTTTTATTTAAATGTGTAGTGTTCGTGTAAATATAAGAAATCGTCTTGCTCATATTTATAAATTATAATAATTTTATGAAGCAGCAATAGTGACGCCTGGAGCACGGGGAAAGTTTATCGATAAAAATTTATATGTATGTAGCTACATATCGTTGAATCGCTTTCGCTTAGTGCTCATCTTATTGCGGGTAACGTGTATGGCTCAAAGATCCGGTTGATAACAAAATCTACTAAAGTAATGTGGGGCTCAATGCAAGTTGGCTTGAAGATTGCTGGTGTAGTTGACTGTTCAGCTATACCATAACTTCCGACAAGCAACCTCGGCGGGAACACTTGTTAATCAACTTGTCGCTCTAGCTTAGGACTAGTTTAAGTAATGCAAAGTTAAAAGAACTCTCAAGTAAAATTATAATTAATAATGGTTAAAGTTCTGTCAAGCTGTAGCGGTTTAATAATAAAATAAATATTCGCCTATGAGATTAATTAATTTCATATAGATGTTATGTTCTTGATAACGAAAGCACGATTGTATCCACAAACTAACTTAATATTTAGAGCAATAATAACCTGTATGTTAAATTAATTTCGTTATTAATTTTTTACAAGGTAATTGAATTGTAACACTATGAATGTTCGCAATATTGCAAGTGCGAAATTATAAGAACCTTTAAAGAATGAATGGATTGTATATGAGTAATAGATTTTCAAACAATTAATGTTTTTGATGAGGTGCCATTTTTATAATACATCTAAATTCATATAATTTGGTCATAATTAATTCATTTATAATTCTGTCATAATTTATCTTAAGTTGCTAGGAGAAGCAATTGTTTTAACAACATTCATTTAAAGGTTTCGTGTAAAGGTACTTCAGAAAGTAACTGCATTGAAATGCATTTGGTACAGCTGTTAATGGATGCGTTAGTTGATGCTAAAAGTTGCATTCAAATCGAAGTCTAGTGATTATATACCTAATGGTTAATTCTTGTGACCATTCCATTATAGTTAAAGTGGAAGCCAAAATGACGACTTATTTTTCTAAATGGTTTTGTTAGGTTTGCAATTAAAATGTATACATAGGTAAAGTAGTAGAACTTTGATATTATAATAAGGTAATCCGATTTCCAAAGATCTAAGGCTCAACTAAATTCTTTTAGCTAGCTTTTTGTTAGCCACAGTCAAAGCTTATTTCGTTTGAGCATTTTGTTCACGGACTTTGTTTTGGATTTATAAAAATGTAAGCGTTCACTAATTTATTATACATCACTCAGTTTGTGTATATAACTAATTACCATGAAAATGTGATAAGACTTTCTTACGTTGTAATTTTTGTATTGTTAAGGAAGTACATTAACGTTTCCATTTATATGAAGCAACGGTCTTTTTCAAATGCTAAAAATGGTGCTGTCTGTTAGCATTACTGCATTATTGGATTAAGTGTTTGTTGAATTCCGTTCTAGAATATTTTATAAAATTGACTTTCACATTTTTTCAATATTGAAAAGTTGTGTGTTGTATCAAATATATAAGACGTACCTTGTCATACTGTATTAAGCACATTTTTATTGTAGTTCCAAAAGGATACTAGAGAAATGTTAAGAGAAATTTTAGTAAAATGTTTAAAAAAAATTGTTAACATGGCATTTTATTACATTGAGATGCAGAATTATCGATTCATTCACAACTGAAACAGTAAGCGCCCATTTAATTACTTGTATATATTTTTCATTATGTAAATTGTGGAATCTCCTTTTATTTCCAAGTATATCTTTTGTGCTATTAGAAATTACAATTGCAAGTAATATGTTTACTGTTGCTTTTTAAATCGTGTAAATTATTAATGACATGTTGTAATAAGTATATAATGATAGCCATACAATTTATTTGTTTTATATAACATAAGTTTGTAAATACTACGATTATACATTAAGTTTTATACTCAATTGTTTTTGTTTCATCTCGGAACCTATTTTTTCAGTGCTTGGTTTTTTTCTATAGGATAACGAGCACACAGTCCACCTGATGGTAAGTGGTTGCTGTGGCCCGTAGACGTCTACATCTATCCCCGTTCGCGAATCAAAATGCAGATGCTTTATCACCCGTGAGGACTAAGATGGTATGCCTCTTTTCCAGTAGTAAGGGTCTCCGGTTCTCTACACTCACCATACGAAACACAGCAGTGTTAAGCTGCTATTTTACGCTGGTGTTCTGTGAGAGCGTGGTCCATCCCTGGTCGAGCCGACCCATTCGTGCTACAACTATACTACTAATATAGCTGCAGCATGGCTCTACCACGTGTAATTGGTATGGAAGAAGTATCGTACTTTCTTAAACCGGTCATTATGGCATAAGGCATGTTACAACTACGAACATTGCTGTAGTGAGTTTATATATAGAAGAGGGGCCAAACGAGCATTTGGCTCACCTGATGGTGAATTTCGCCGCCCGTGAACTGCGTATGTTCGTATTCATTGATAAATACCAGTATAGACGTAGTTGCGTTGCCGGTCTTTTTAGGGTTTTGTACCTTAAAAGGAAAACTGTAACCCTTATAGGAACGCTTTGTTGTCCGTCAGTCCGTACGTCCGTCCGTCTGTTCGTTTGTCAAGACCCTTTTAGGAACGGACGGACAAATTAATATTAAAGATAGAGTCCACGATCCTTGGAGGTGTAAAAATTTAAGATACTCGCAAACTCACTCCTCAAAACCTATTGGTACTTCTCTTTTATATAGAATTAAGAATGATATTATGATAGTAAAGGAAAAATCCGTAAATCGTTAATTTGGAGTTGCATATATTATATAAATTGTGTTATGCCATTACAAACTTACATCTGCAGTTGAAACAACTACCGTAATGTAGGTAGGACTATACATGGGATAAATTTTGGTCCACTGCAAAGTTAAGTTTGTCTTTTAATCCGATTTATCTTATGTTATGTTCGGTATTTACCTTCATGGACTACATACATAAGTATATAAAGAGCTCTTAGAGTGCGAATCATATTCGCACCTGTCCGGTTTTTTTTAAAGAATCAGGCTCTTGAGGCTGCTTATCTCGTCTTCGGTCCTTAAAAAATATTGGTGACAGCAAATTCCTCAACGTGGTTGTGCGGGGTA